TTTACATATGATTGAAGTTGTACTCAGAGAAACTTGCGTTTACTTTTAAGTCAGTTTCATTACATTCGAGGGCCATTTCATTGCATTCGAGGGCTGTAGTGGGTCATGGTGGGAGAGGGGAAGTGGAGTGATGCAATGCCGCACTGCCTTTTTTAGCTCGCCACATCACAGAGTGTCACATGCTCTCACGTGTTCTTTCCACAAAACTCTTGGACAGATCCCCTTGGCAACTTGAAGTCCCTCCCCAAAGGATGAACAAAGGTTTTGTTGGTGCTAGAATGCCATGCCTGTAGCCTTATACTCCTGCCATGACATTGACATGGGATCACTCAAGAAGCCCTTACACTGTCCACCGTTCAGACCAATCTCAGTACGCCATTCGTCTTGAATGAATGGGCATTGCGGAGAAAATACAGTGGTTTCCCTCAGATAGCTCATGGCCAGGCATTCCACATTGCAATCAATGAACGAAAGTGTTTCAGCCTACTACTAGGCAGCTTTGGTTTATGTTTGCCTTGCATCGAGCGCTGGCAATGGCCTTTGCTGTCGAGCTTCGCGGCATAAGCTCCTTGAAACTTGGCAGTGCAAAGGAGGGGTCGGTGGGTGGGATCCATTCCAAGTTGACTTTTTGATAACAGAACCAGAGACAAACAAAAAACATGATCAAAGGCTCCTTTTCAGCCTTCAAGTAGGCCACTCTCCAATATCGGATGATTGTTGGACTTTTAGTCAACTCCTTGCAGTCAGAATGTTATGTGACATTCAGAGTAGTACGTTGTTCAAGGGATACTCTATGCAATACTCTCAAAAGAGATGAGAACATCAACCGCAAGTAAATTCCCTAGCCTCTGCAGTGAAAGCACTGGCCAATGAAGAGAACTTGAGGTTTCCAACCCCTGGAGTATAGGTAAACATACCTGGGTTGGTCGGCTTCACCACGTAGTAGTCTGTTCCTGAGCCACACTAAAGAATTTGAATGATGATACTCCACAGTCACTTTAATCAAGCACCGATGCACGCACAAGGGCTTCCTTAGACACAACCATTGAATCAGCAAGGCGCCATTGTCGTCAGCAGTGGACGTTGGCCGTTCAAGGCTGTGTCCATGGAGAGAGGTATCAACCAAGCCTTCCTCTTCCAGTTCATGAACCAGTGATCGAATCGTACATGCTTCTGCATCAGTGCACTGTTTGGACGTTTCACTTTGCATGTCCAAGATCACTTTGCAAGTATCGTTTTCCCATCGAGCAGGAATGACATGCCGAAGGGCATCCCCTGCCAGCCACCAACAACCACCAGTTGAATGTCTGAAAGGATGTGAATGGCCTTTGGCTGTCCGATTAGGAAGTGTTGAGTGATGCACAAAGAGACACAAATCTGCAAATGTTTCCCCCTTCGACGATGAGTTGCAAGTAGCCTCTAGCAGGCATTCTAGAAATTGCAAAATGCAAGGCTTCGCAAGCCTGGCTCTATCCACCACGCTCTCAAAACATACATATCTCTGCCGCCATGGCAGAGTGCCCACATTGGAGCGTGAAAAAGGGATAGACGCTACTCCAAAAAGATTCACTTCTGAGGCTGTTTCAGACGCCTCCTAGACAGCTCCGAATTGGACATGTGCTTCATGGCGTTCAGCCGCATAGGATGAGTATTCCACCTGGCAGAAAGGTCAGGGAATGCTGACTCAGACCTCGAACCCATACCATGACATACAAAGCAAGGGGCAAATAACAAGAACACTCAAGAAAATGTGTTTGCTGCATCCAGCCCACGCTTCACGAGCAAGCTTGAGAACCTCCTTGGCTGACATTTTTGGGTTCTTCTTCTTGATCTTCTTCTGCTCCTCGTGGACAACGGCCCAGTATGTGACGCGCAAGGTGTCAGCCGCGTGCGTCTCCTCACCTTCGGCAATGTCCGCAGGCTCCACATCCGACTTCCCACCCTCCTTCGCCTGCGCCTTGTCCCATTGACCAAGCACCATAGTGGTTGCATCACTCGCCTCACTCCCATTCTCCTCTTCACTCTCGAACTGCTCTTCACTGTCCAAGACGTCCTCCTAAAACAGGAGAATACAAAATGAATGAAACTTAAAGGGAACGGCCCCACTACTTAAAAGCCCTGGCCTCATCATCAGGTTGTTTCTTCTTGTTCTTTGCAGCGGCTTTTGCTTCTGCTGTCTCAGGAAGTTATGTATGGTTGGTGCAGCAAACACAGTAAGTAGCAAACAGGATGTCATAATACATATACTTAATGGACGGAAAGAACCACTTGCTTGACCCAGCCTTCCGTTTGGGAGCAGTCTTCGGTTTCTCAGCAGCAGCAGCACGTTTCCTTTTCTGGGTTTGTTCAGGAGTGGGGGACTCCCGTTCTTGTGCTAGTGATGTGTCGGCAGACTCCTTCTTGGACCTCCTTGCCTTTGGTTTGGGTGCTGCCTTTGTTTTGGGTGCTGCCTTTGTTTTGGGTGATGCCTTTGTTTTGGGTGATGCCTTTGTTTTGGGTGCTGCCTTTGCTTTGGGTGCCTTTCCTTTTGCCTTTGGCTCTGCTGCAGCTTTGCCATCAGTCTCATTGATGGCAATCCTATTTTTGATAGCTTTAGCAGCTTTGCTTGCCTCTTTCTTGTCCATTGTAAGAGTAGCCATGGCATCCTTAACCTTGCCCTGCAGACACTGTTGTTCTTCACTGTTCAATTTGGGAGTGGGCTGCTCTGAGGAACGCATGGGCAAGGTGGTGCCCTTGGGAGGTGATGGCTTCGATGCCTCTGGAGGCGAGCCATTCGGAACCTGAGCAGTCAGTCATGGGAGGTCATCCAAGCAATGAGAAGTTGGAGTGGGTGTGTCAAAGAAAAGTCACTTTTTCACAGCTGTTCAACCCCAAGGTTTTCGTTTTGTTTGGGAAGGTTCTGATGTATGTTTTGGGAAGGTCCTTCTGAAGACGAATGGAAATAATTGAGGTATTATGACATATGATATTGGTGTACTAGATGCACAGCCAAAAACATGCCACTGCAGCAATGAATACAGGATTTTACATGCCACATCACAGAATTGAGGCCCTTGCAACACGGTTTGGTGGAGTCTCGATTGCCCCGGGACTTGTGGACAGCATGGTGTCCAAGTCCTTCACACAACAAGGGTCTCTCATGGTGGCTCCTTGAGAGCCAAAGCTATATAAAGCAATGTTTATAGCAACACCTGCTTACATCAAGTCGAGTCCATGTTCCCCCCCAAGCAAGTTTTCAGTCCTGCTGCAAACCATGCTTCGCAAGCACTTCGGCTAGGGACGACATCAGAACCCTTGAAGCAATGAGTCCACTACCAGTGCTGGGCCCCCTAGTCTTTCTAAGCCTCCTTGAAGGAAACGATCGAAACCCATCGACAGATCATGCACTGGATTGTCAACTCTTGCTGCAGCACGTCGTAATTATTATATAGTAGACATTGCATATCGACTTGACAGAGCAAATTAAATCAGTCTTCCCGACCCAAGCCTCCAGCAGTCTCACGCATCATCTTCTGGAACTTTTCGCCCTTGAGCCAGCCAGACTTGCCATGCGCGATCTGGAAATCTCCGGCACCGACTTCCTTGTCTTGGTGTGATACCTCAGACAGGTGGAGATAGAAGGGTTCAGGTCTGGGACCTGGATGTTTTCCACTTGAGGGGAGTTTGCAAGAGATATCCACCCATGGTTTTTCAACATGTGTTTTGCAATAATTCTAAGAAGACACCATTTTCCCCTCCATGGCTTGATCAACTTCTCGAAGAACTAGACTTAACTAGACCTTCACTGATTACTCAAAATTATAGACTGAATCCACAAACAAGATACCATCCAGAGCTTGAATCTTTGGTTGTCCAGCATTTCCACTTTGCTGCCATCGCGTCTCACTGCACTAGTCAACATCAGAGTGCAGCCTGGTTCCCTAGCCGGAATCTTGTTCTCAACCGTATACTGCTCTATCAAAGCATCAATGTTGTCTGGCTCCAAGGCGAAAGCTGGTGGCGGCGGCTCTTCGACAGGCGCGATAGCTTGCTCCGTGGGATCTGTTGGCCCAGCAGTCGTGCAGAACCTGGGTGGGCAATTTTTATTCGGAGCTGTTAATTTTGGGGTGCAGTTACCTAATGTTTACTAACTGCGTAACTGCAAACCAAATTGCTGGGCAAACCAAACCAAAGAGTTACTGGCTTAACAAACCCAAAGGCTTCTTGTCGAAGTCCAAGACCAAATTGCGCCATGCAGGGCCATTGATAGCGTCATTGATATGTGCGGTTCTCACTGCGTTTGGAAGCTCCACCTTGTACTTCTTCACTCCTTTGAGGTTGTTGTCCACTGTCAAGTGGGCAAGCTTCAAAGGAAATGATGTTGCGTCCACTGCTTCTGGTGGTGGAGGATTGGGATCGAATTGACGCACATCCCCCAATAGGCTTCCCCCTTTCTTCCAGTCCTGCGCCATCAACAAAATACAAGATGTTCAGAACCCTGCTTACTCCTTTATGTGGGGTTCCCTGTAAACCTGCCTGGGGTGTGTGCTCTCTAAACCCTTGAAACAACTGTCCAGGCGTTTTGAGGGGACCGCTAATGTCAGACAAAAACATAGGATCTCTTCTGACATTTGTTTGTCATGATTATTCTAATTCTATGACCTTCCAAAGGCACTTGTCCTCAAAGAGATGAAAAGCCAAGACTTTCTCAGTGTGCTGGCTCACAGTGAGATCAGTGCTCAGTGACAAAGTTCGGAATGTGCGCTCTGGATGGTCCAATCCCATCTTGAGCACTGCCTGCTCGAGGTTCCCATCATAGGGTGTCATGTTGACCAGCCCAACGAGTTCCCCCGTCTCACTGCCAGTCAGTAGGCTTGTCAGAACGGAGCTTGGCATTGTGAGTCCACAGAGAAGTTGAGCAGTTTCTTGAACATCTGATAGTGATCTAGCAGGGGCAAGGTGTTTTTTCCCCTGCCCTATGGTTTTTTGTATTGAAACACATGTACTATCATGTATTCATTTGTCTTTGAGTCTGGTTAAAACAGTTTCCCACAAGTTTGCCCCGTTGTAAAGAAAGACATGGGAGACCAGAGACCAACTTCTTTTCAAGCTTCCAGGCCTGACACCTTCAGACGCATGAGGTGTGGCCTCCCGGCCAGATGGGACTGTGTATTGGCTCCGGGCTCCACGGGAGAAGATCAGGAGTCGACCTCTCCAGGACAATCTTCCCCAAACCAGGGCCTACAACTGAGCACCCTCCAAAATTAGAGATTTGGGCACCCCCAGCCTTTGTGCTAAGAGTTGCGACATGCTCCACACATTGGAGTCGAAGGAGCCACTGGCAAAAATGAGCCACCCCGGATACCACAACTGGCATTTCTTTGTGCTTGGGGCAGCCTCCAATCTCAGTGTTATGCTTTCAGAATGAAGGCCTTTTGCATCCAGCTTATCCTCCACCCTCCTGAAGAAAGGGATTGGTAAGGAATAGAGTGGGCAACTCTAAAGCCAAAACGATTATGGGTTACATTCCCCTGATCTTACTTACTTAATGCAACTTAATGAGGAAACTCAGTTCTTTCACTTGAAGTTGGTAGGGGTCATTGCTAATTCTCATGGGGCTTTTGTGGGTCAAAGGCTCCTCAGTTCAGCACGCAGTCCACTGCGCCGATCCGACGTGAGGTGTGGTGCGATGCAGAAGCACACACCTTTCTCAGGCATAGAGGCGAGCCCCTTCCGGATGGAGTCGCAGGTCATGTTCAGGTCCTGTGTCGATAAGCGTCCCAACTTCATGTAGTCAACCCACATGACCAGAGATCCATTGTCCGCTTTGAGCTTGGTCGTGAACTCAGGGCAAGAAGGGGATAGCTTGAGTAAGATTCAAAACTTCAGGGTTTAACTAATTTAATAGTTACTAGTTGCCAAACAAAATCATTCTTTGTGGGGCTGGGCACTGCCAGATTTTAACATGAAGTTGCCTTGAAGAGTTCTTCATGAAGGTCTGCAACAGGTCCAGCTCTGTGATGACAGTGCTTGGCCATGAACTGCGCGGCCAGGTTGGATCCAATCTGGTTCTCCTGGCGAAGGTGGCAAATCTTCGCGATCCTGGCCGCTCGTTCAGAATTTTGATCGGCTTGAAACAAGCGAGCCAGTTGGGACGCGTCGCACGCCAAAGAGAGGGCATCTGCCTCATACTGGAGCTTGTTGCTTTCAAGCACCATCTTGTCCAACTTTTGGTCAACAAGTTGGGAGCCTTCCTCGGAGGCTTTGGCAGTAGGGTGGTGCTCAACCCACATTGAGCACATATCTGCCTTCCAAGCTGGGTCCATGCCCTCCACCAACGGCCGCAGCTCTTCATGGAAGTCCCTTAGGTCATGACAGACTTTCAATTGTAATCCAAAGGTCGTTCAGATTATTACAGAAGTCACCCAAGAACACCTCATTGGTTAACATGGGGATTGGTGAATGGTTTGGGGATTGGTGAACGGTTTCCCATGGTGTCCCATGTTTGGCCCCAGTCCCTAACATGAACTCTCAGGCAAGCAACCCTTCAATCACCCGGCTCATCACTATAGCCAGTGTTTCATTCGTGAACACAGCCAAGTTGTTGGGATCCCTGAAACGCTGCATTTCCTCGATCACAAAGCCAGCCAAGCACAATACATCAACCTCTGAGTTCCACTGCTGGAGTGACAATCGTAGTACTTGTGCTTTTCCAGCTGATCTCTTGGTGACCTCGAAAATGAATAATATTCGCTGGAGAAACAAATGCTGTTTGAGCTCGTTCATCTCCATGATGTCTGCCCAGATTCCTCCCAGGCCCTTTGGCTTTCCTCCAAGAAACCATCGAGGGTGTAGCAAAGTCTCACGATGGAAAGCTGGACAGGGTCTCACGAATCAACGCGAAACCATCATGTGAGGATACTAGTGCCGTACACTACGAGGCGGTCAAAACGACAAACAACTTGTCCTAAAGGTTTGTTGAACATGTCTTGACCTCTCAAAGCGAGCACAGCTAACACATTAATTTCTATACATCATTGGTGATTTTCTGATTTCAGCAGGTTTGTGCCTGAGTGCTCAAACTTGTGCACATCCAGGTGTTGACGGATCAGCTTCCAAACCCGGTCAGAAACCCCCACCTGGTTGCACAGGCAAGCCAGCTACAGGCACTCATTTGCCAATCTCTTTGGGAAAGAATAGGGGGAATAGCTACATCAGTTAGTTGGGGAACATGTCACAGTCTTGCATAATCATCACACCCTACTACTAATGATTCTGACATATAAATGATCCTAAACTGTCTAGCCCGAGGTCGGACCTAACAGTCCTTGCCCATGAAAATCTTTGTCACTAGGCCCCTGTTGGTGAGCCTTGAAACCAAAGAAGAGATTGGCTGTGCTCTTGTCGATCTTGTTCTTGCCAAGGCCATAGGAGTTGTACTCCTCGATGGCCATGTCCCAGGCCTGCCGGTAACCTGCGTCACCAGGTGGTAGAGCGCCATGGCTGTCCTGGGGGGGAACAACCCACGACCCATTGCAAGACATTGCAGGACACATGGACTTCTCGTGTATCAAACTGTGGGAGTGGGAGTCCCTTAGCAATCTTCTCCATCAACTACCTTAAAAATAACATATAATAATTAATTATCTAATACTATCCTGCCCATGGTCCTTCACGATTTGGTCAGTACGTGAATGGAAGGCAAGGCAAAGCTGGAGGACTGATTTTTTTGTCGTTCAGCCTGTTGATCGTTGATGTGGAGTCGCCTCCACACATAATCCTGTGGGTTGTTCTGCTTGATGTAGACGCATTTCACCACCAAAGCGGTTTGGAGCCACCTGAAGAGACAGGAAACCATGCTACGTTTACTCTTCAACCAGTTGAAAACCTTAAAGGTTTCTCCATGTTTCCTCACAGGTGTCACAATCAACCCCCCAAAGAACTTTTAATGTTTCCTCACGGGTGTCACAATCAAACCCTTAAAACACTTCACCTGAACCCCCTGGTGTAGAAGCCCATTTCCCACCTATTCTGGGCAGTGAAACTGTTGGAACCCAAAGCAACCTCAGTTGGAACCCAAAGGCGACGATGGCACCCTCACCATCACCTTTGCCTCACCTTTGGGGGTCCCAAGTTCCCCAACTTGGAAAGGCGACGATGGGGGTGCCACCATCACCTTTGCCATTTTGCCTTCCCAGCTACCAGATGACAGATGCCTTTCCCTTTGTCCCATAGCTATCAGATCTATTTCCCTTTGCATGTGGGACTGTCCCTATTCACCAAAGGCGACGATGGGGTCCCCACCATCACCTTTGACCTTTTGGTTTTAGTTGCTAGCCCTAGCAGCCAGCCTCCCTTACAATCCCCTGCCCTGCAGGAGGCTGAGATAGTGTAGTAGGGAGTCCCTTATGTGAAAGGCGACGATGGCGACCCCACCATCACCTATGAGATTTGGGGGACATAGGCTGGCCAAAGGCGACCCTTTCCATATCCCCTTCCTAAATCATACCGGGCCACTTCCGAAAGTCTTCCAGCTCTTCATCTGTCAATCCCTTTTTCAGGACCACGTATGAGTAGAAGAGCGAGAACAGAAGTATGCTAGATCTCCCAAATCCTTTTGTCACCTCCAGACTGGCAAAGGCCATCGCTGACTTGGCACTGTCTGGGGTGAGCGGTTTGAACTCGATGCTCTCCCGAAAGGATTCATAGCCCATTGCCCAAATGGACTCAGCTGTGTTCAGCCAGTCCGCCAGCATTGTCAAGCCATCCACTGGCATGGTCGGTTGAAATGCCAGAATGGGAATATCCATGCTGGATGTAACAGATTCGTCCTGACCAAGGGTGGGTCTTGTCACCATCAATGAATAAACAACAAACAGGAAGGATTTGGAGCTCATGGAAAACAAACAGTTTTGTGGCCCACTTGTCCGGAGTCCGAAGGTCACTCGGGTGAGGAAGGGTTGATCCCAGGACATGACATAGCCAGTCATGTAGGGGAGCAAAGAGCTCAGGCTTGGCATTGCTCAAGAGCCAAGTGACAGGATGTTCATCCTTCAAAGGATCAAAGCTCCTCAGCTGGGCTTCTTTTTTGAGACTGGCGCCCCTCCAAACCATTGGTCATCACTTGGTTCAAATGAATTCATGCAAGGGTCTTCACACTAAGCCAAATCTTGTTGCTCCATGGTCCCAGCTTAAGGCCAGACTTCTGAGACTTACTCGATGGTGGCGTGGCCACACCAGCAGCACGTTTACCCATTGAGGAGTCACAGTGGCCCCAAACCCCACAGATCCAAAAGGACTGAGGTTAGATAACATAACATATTTTGTGTCGCATGTTGACCAGTTTTTCATGAAACACTCGCGGACACACAAAGTTTCCTTGACATGTTTTCCACACAATGTTCAACGCTTTCTGTTCAAAGCATTTTCCGAATTAGGAACTTACAATGCACACACTCATCAGCTCAAGCCCAAGATGGTGGCAACTATGATAGCCCCCATGGTGGGTACCGACATCGCATTTCCAGCCATCCGAATCTGTGCCGTTTTGGAGGTGGAGGAGAGTTCCAACTTCGGCGACTTCGAGATGGCGCTTTGCTTTGCATCGACAGGCAAGCTGTGGGTGGCCAAAAGCTCGAGGGGGTGCATCACACGCTGTAGGGCCTCGCCAACTGCATATAGATCTATCTATTATCATATCTTCTAATAGTATTATCAAGGTTAGTTGTTGAAATTGACGCATGCATCCCTCATGTTCTTTTCACCTCAGGCACCTTGTTGTAGAGGCGGCCTGAATTGGTCGTCACACACATTAGGGAACCATCTTTGCACTCTGATCTCCCTCGATTTGCCGCCACACGCTGGTTGAGATCTGCAACCTCCCAATCAGTCCTCTTGAACTTGCTCGGATCCATGTAATCCTGCAGGTTGCTCTCCTGGGATTGGTGCAGAGGAAGACTGTGGAGCTACCAAGGCTTGGCCTGCTTCAGAAGTAAGGGGACCCACTAACATAGGACACAAAACGCATTCCTAATTGAGCTGAAATACCTCTCCCTGACTCAAAGGCATTGGGTCCAGCTTCATATAGTAGAAGTCTCTCACCCCCATAGTAGGTTGCGCCCTCAATGAGTTCAAGACCTCTACAAACTCGAAGTTTGGGTTCCAGAGGCCGATGTACGCAGTCTTCCACATGACCCCAAACACCCGGGGCCTTGCGCAGGCGAATCCAAACACCCTCGGGTCAATCCGGCACACCCGGAAATCCCACCCAGTAGATCCATCAGGGTTGAAGTAGAGATTGAAGTACCGTTCCAATTGGTACTCGGTCACATTCTCAATGATGTGCACATCAGCAGATTCTAGGTCACTGTAGTATTTTTCATGCACCTTGTACTTGATGTCTCCGTCCCCCTTACCAAGGCCCATGCGGCTGTATGGTTGGCATGGCGGTCCTGGAAAGAGTGGTAGGGTTCTTAAGTGTAATTAAACAACACACTCCTGTCCTGCGATTTTGACTCGCAAGCCTGAGATGAGTTGAGGGCTTGTTTTAAACAATGTACTTTCATTGGTGCTACTGCAATCCAGGTGAAGTTCAAACAACTCAGCTAGGTAACTGTTTGTTTTGCACGGTAGCTGACAGCTGCACATGCGCTGATGCTTCTCACACCATAGGCTCTTTTTGTTCGGGTCGAAGTCCATGACATTCGAAAAAACACATGACGAGTATGTATTGCACAACACTCTCTGGCATGAACGATCGAAGTCACAGGCATAGTGGGTCTTTACACAGGGAGCGACCTTTCGCAGTGACTGCTGAACAGCCGCCTCCAAGCTCGTCAAAGCCTCCAAAGGAACTCAAAAAGGGGTCAACAAATCTTTAAATGCCTGTTAGCTCCTCTCCAAGCCCCCCACCGCTTCAGCGCAACCGATTCCGCTGAAGACAGTCCCGACCTCCCATCTCCATTTCCTTAGCCGTTGGATCACCTTGGTGCGGCCAAAGTGGTTGAATAGCCGTTCCAGGAATAGTGGAGCCCACTTGAATGATTCCTTCACAGTCTTTGGCCCCAATGGGTCTTCTGAGCTGGCCATCGGAATAGAGGTTTTGGGATAATAGTAGGTCCTGGCGTAGTTTGATCAAGGAAACCTATTCACTGTGGCCAGAAAACAAAACACGAGTCCTGGATTTGGCAATCTTCTGACCTGCAATCCTTTTGCCCTTGAGGTATGGTTTCTGAACGGTCCTGCAAACAGATCTAAAGCAAGTAAAGCATGCTGGGTTGAGACAGTCTGTCAGATCCTGCCAGTGCCAGGTGATGAGCGATTGATTGCCTGCACGGCCTCCCTGAGAGTCGGCTTCCTGAGAAGCATGCACTGGACCCACAGGTTCCAAAGGTTTGTTGAAAAACACATGCAGTGGAATGTTTGGTCAAGTCATGTCAAGTCTCTTCATTCAGCAGGGACCCCAAGTCAGGACCGACGTGAGTTGACCCGAAAACAGCTTCGACCAAGTGCTGAACAGTATGTAGCATGCTGACATCAGAAGACCTCCCTGCATGAAGCAGCATGACACAAAGAACATCGTTCAATATCAGCTAGCACGTTTCTCCCTGCACAGGCGACTGGAGTGTCAAATAAGCCTAAAACACTCACAGCCTAAATTAGGGGAAGTCTGTCACTAAGACTCCTCATCCGAAAACAGCACATCGCGCCCAGCATTTAAAGCACAAAGTTTGGACACACCCTGAAGCATCGTAGAAGCAACGTCCATCATTTTATGGACAGGGTTG